ATCGTTTTTGCGCGTTGCAGAATGCGTGCGCGGGCAAGGCGGAAAGAGAGGGAAAGATCCCAAATTCAATCCAAAAAGTATTGTCGTGCCTCCCACCGGGCCACAACTCGTCGTTTGGAACAGAAGGGCTTGGGCACGCTTCGCGTGTCTCGTTTTGGTATCAAATCCCATCATCGTTCACTGGCTAGTTCCGAGTCTGACGTGGAGGGTCTCAGACGCGTGGCTCTTTCTTTATGCTCGTCTTCACTCCGCACACAGTAGTGAAAACCCCTGGACTCGTAGCGCTCAAAATGCTAACATTCGACGCATAGAGTGCGCGGCCAGTGGGGCTCTACTGCCGTCCACGGAATGACGATCAACTCGTTAAATGGCGACAATACCGAGTACGGTGGGAAGTGCGTATCGATAATTACAAACCCGGCTTCTACGAATCCAGAACAACGGTTGGCCGGAGGGAAGTAATACTGTCAGCCGATTTGTGCGACAGCTTCTCGTACGTCCCACTCACATACACGTGTCCTTTCCTCACTGTAGGGAAAAATTCGCGTTGGGATGGGAGATACGGGAGGCTGGCGCCCAATCGAAGGGTACTTGTCAGTCCACATGTCAATCCATCACAAAATATCTCGAGACGTCATTAAGAACAAAAGCGATTCGTGCGTCCCCCAATCAATATTTTTGACACAGGAGAGGGAGAGCAAACACAGATCAGCTTGATCACGCGTATAGCTACTGGACCGATTAGTTCGACACAACGTTGGTCCTTGGGCGCCTTGTTTCTCAAGGCCGCCTCGTGGCTCGGCTGCTGATGTCGTGCAACATAAGGCAGATGACATGCGCAGTGCGAACAGAGCTACAGATCTAAACACTCTTGCATTCTCGAACAAAATCCCGACGAAAATGAGACATGCACAGGAAAAGATGGATCGCGTTACTCAGTACACACGCATCCACCGTTCACAAGACAAGAAGACAGGGTCCTTGCATAGGAGGACTACCCAGGAAACTAATGGAAGAGTTCCGGAAGAAGTTCTTTCACACAAAATGCCGACTCATTCCCATTCAAGAGCGGGACAATCATTCAAGCGCATCATCATTCAAGAGGAGAGAGAGAGAGAGAGAGAGAGAGTCGAGGGAAAGAGAGTCAAAATAGACGATGACAAGGTCCGAAAAGAGAAAAGTTTGGCGTCGCCGCTTTACACTCATGCCAAGGATAACAATCCGCAATAAAGGCACATTCACCGTTAATTCCACTATGGCCCCGGGCCAATCACTCACTCAACTCCAATCAGGGAACCTCATACCCGCACCGACGATCCCGACCGTCGTGTGCTAACTCCCACCACTGCGATCGTCACCCCGCTGTCGTAAACTCGACACGGTTCGCTCGGATCCCACAGTCCGTCGTGGCGATCAAGAACGCAACCGGCAAGCCTATCGTCAGCCCGACAGGACTTTCCGACTCGCATCAATCCACTCTGCCTAGCCACTGCTTTCCGGAAGCTGGCTTAGGAGTCGAGAATGTAAGAGAGCTTTGCGGATGCGCTTGCGGGTTTTATAGTTGCGATAGGGGAGATAGAAGGGGGAGAAGGCGATAGGAAAGCTGAGGTGTAAGAGGAGAAGCAGGAGGAGAAGACTTTGAGAAGAGTGTTCTACGAGCGCCATGCTGATCCCTCGGAACTCAAGGTTCAACCAATCAGATTCGTCGCGCGATAAGAAGGTCCTATCGATCCACGCACCTGATTGGCGAGCGGAAGTTATCGGGGATCGATCGGGCGTCGTACGCCAGACTTAGAGGGTGGGAAGAGAAAAGGCGCGAGAGGTGGCGCAAGACGGGTCGAAGATTCAGATGATCAAGAAAGGGAAATGGGCGCGCAAAAAGCAAGGCGGGAGAGAGAGAGAGAAGGAAAACAGTTACGGGGAGAGAGAAAAAGGAGGGAGAAGGGAAGGGAGCGATGCGGGGGACAGAGAGGAGAAAGCTTCTGCATGTGCGGTGCCGTCAACAAAAAGAAAGAAAAAGGCACCGAAACAGTTACGACTTGCTTCTCTCCTAATTCAAAATTGAAATCACCATATCCGCGCGCGAAAAAGCGACGGGGGAAAAGAAAATCTTACGCCTATTCGTATTCATGCAAAATTCCGAGAGCTTTCCCCGACGCGCCCAAGAACACTCACACACCCAAAAAGGACACGTCGAGGTTCCACTTATCCTGGAATTCCCAACTATCGAGCCCAATTCCCAGTGCGCTCGCTAAGGCGCGCGCAAATTCCCATGTATTTCCCAACTTTGCAAAAAGAAAAACAGAACACAGCTGTCGAAAAAGCTCTCAATAAGGAAAATGCGGCACCCGAAAGCAAGAAATCAAAATGGGTTTTTCCTGGGGTTGGTATGATACAAGCAAAAGAAAGGGTACGAAAGATAGCACGGGTTCGTGAAGTGGTTCGTCACAAACTCTTTAATCTCCACTCCTCAATCAGGTCGTCACCAAAGGCGATTTGCACCAGTTTGTTAAGAATGTCTTCTTTCGTTCGATTAAGTGTCGAGTTTGCCTTCGTTGAATACTCTGCCTGCTCCATTTTTTACTTCCCTTTCACAGATCTGCTTCCTGCCGCCCTTGCTGCCTCATCCATCTTTTCGCTCAAGTCGGTTGCAGGTCCCTTCTGCCGGCGCTCCATCTCCAGTCTTGCCAACTTCTCTCACTTTCTTTCTCCTTTTGACTATTCAATTCTTGGGCACATAGTTCCTTCAACGTAGCAACTTCTCTCGCATGACAAGCCGCCATTTCTGCTGCATGAATTTTTTGCACCCACCTAGGAGAAACACATCTCGGTCTCACCCTCGCCTTTGTCGATGGTGTAGCTTCCACCATAATTCCATTATTCCAACTCTCTTAAGTCCAGGTCAAAGTGTTTCTGTTCTCCAATTTTCCACAGCCGCCAAAGCCTCATCTCTCTCTCTTTTCAGCTGTGTCATTTCTTTCTCCATCCTTTCCAATCTCCTTTCATTCTCCTCCTGTGTGATGACCGTCCGAAAGGTCACACTGCTGCCCCTTTTTAGATGGGACAAAGTTGCGGCTGTCTGGAGAAATGGGGATTTGGTGCTTGGCTGGTCACACTATGCCATCCACAAATTGTGCAAGAACTTTTGTGAACGAATTTTTGCCAACTTTTGAAGAAAATGAAAAAAAAAAGGGCATTTGCGGGCACCTCCAGAGGTGACCGGGGCCTCACACGGGGACCTTTATTCCCAAAATTCCAAAAAAAAGGGGAAAAGCCTGGTCAAACGGGTCCCAAAATTCCAAAAAAAAGGGGAAAAGCCCGGTCACACCGATCTACCAAATACGCAAATGTACTATTCCTGTGCCCATTTGTCAGCGGCCTGGGAAGCCGCAGGGCAAGGGATTTTGGGGTCAGCTTCGGATAGAATGCCTGAATCTGGACGTGTTTGTAAACAGGTGCAGGAAATAGAGATTGAACTGCTTTTCTGCATTTCTGGATAAGACACATCCAGATTCATGAGCTCGATCCTATCCTTTTTGCTAGTGGGACCTCGGCCCTGGAGGTGGCCGCAAATGCCCCTTTTTTTTTTGCATTTTCTTCAAAAATTGGCAAAACTCGTTCACAAACGTTCATGCACAAATTGTGGACGAAATTGTGGACGGCGCCGCCGTGTGACCAGCCAAGTACCAAATCCCCATTTCTCCAGACGGCCGCGACCTTGTCCCATCTGAAAAGGTACAGCAGTGTGACGTGAACCATGCCCAAAACCTCAAATCGGCCCTTCCGCCGTGTGAGCATGCCCTGAGTATGTCCTGAACTCTGAATTACCTGGCGGTGGTCGTTTTGATGAATCGGCAAGGGTGTTTTTGTTTTCAAACTTCAAATCAGCGAGAAGGTTAGCTCAAGCGACTGCGCCGTTCATTCAAGAAAAAGAAAGAAAAGGCAGTGCTTTTCAAGGCCAGCTCGGCCCAGCTACGCTCGACCCGAGGTGCCTACTTCCACCGAGAGCAAAAATCTTTTCAACAAGCAAGGTAGACTTCTTATGTTCCCACCAAAGGTTAACCTTAATTTTTTTTTTGCTGTTGGTTTATTTGGTGTCCACTCTATGGACTGGTGACAAGTCTGGCGTAAAAGGTATGGGACGTTTGTTATAATGACCCTGAAAAAATCCTGAGAATTTAGGGCTCTGTTAACCTCTTCTCTATGTTCCAGGTCCCGTGTCTACTTCACGGTGGCCCTCACGATGCAGAAGCAAGCGGAAATGACGAAGAGAAGAGCAGCGAAGGAGATCGCGGAGAGATTGCTCAGAGTCTCCACTGTTTCAAGGACGTTATACGCACAGTAGTCGCCCACTCCGTACCACCCCTTCCGTCCTCCCTGGGTTAGATTACTGCTGTTATCTTCTCTCTCCTACCAGTAGGTCCCGCTGGACTCGACTGTCACTCGTCTTGCCGCTCTTGCGCGCCTACACGGATTGAATTCATCCCCCCCCCCCCTCTCTCTCTCTCTCTCTCTCTCTCTCTCTCTCTCTCTCTCTCTCTCT